GTGACCTTTGGAACTGGGGCAAACCCCCTGGAACACCAGTGCCACTTGTTCTGCACAAGTGTTCCAGGGGTTGAAGGGCACCCGCCATGCTCTTGCCTCTCCCCCACCCCCCGCCATGGTCAACTGTTTGAAACAATGAGCTTTAACAGAACGTTGCATTAATTTCCTAGCATTGCTATAAGAAAATACAACAGACTGGGGGAGGGGCGGTTAAACAACAAAAAAGTATTTTCTCCACAATCTTAGAGGATGAAAGGGTGAGGCGAAGGGGCTGCTGACAAGGTTGGTGTCAAGGAGGCTCCCTCCGGGGGTTCCATTCCGCAGCCTTTTCACTGTCTACTTATGCGGTCTTTGGGAAAGGGGGAGAAGAGAGTTCCCTTCTGTGTCTCTTAAGGACACTCTCCTATAAGATCAGGGCTCCACCCTCTGACCCCCTTTAACTTTACTCGTTAGAGACCTCAAACCAGCATACAGCTACCCTGGGGATCAGGGCCTCCACTGGTGAACTCTGGGGGCATATAAATATTCTAGTCATAACAAACACCTTGTTCAAAAAAGACAATTTTGATATTTTAGAACCTTTTGTCCTTGTCGGAGCCCACTGAGACTGGGGAGACAGGAGGGGTCAAAGAGGGTCCTCCGCTCCCAAAGCCACCCAGCCAGGGGACAACAGGGCCAGAACTTGGTCACACCAGGAGAGTGCATGTATGTGGCCTTTTTTTTTTTTTTTGTGGAAAAAAGAATTTAGGAAAAAAATTGTTCTTAGAAATAATGGTGGTATTGAAGCCAGCCTCAGCAAAAGCAATATGCAACTCAGTGAGACCCTGTCTTTAAATAAAATACAAAAAAAAAAAAAAGAAAGAAAGAAAGAAAAGAAAAGAAATAATGGTGGTATTTACGCTCTCAGGTCAAATCCCAGAATTATTATTGTTATTTGTGGTGCTGCGGATTGAATCCAGGGGTGCTCTACAACTAAACTATATTTCCAGCCCTTTTAAAATTTTTTATCTTGAGACTGGGTCTCACTAAGTTGCCCAAACTAACCTTGACCTCAGCTTCCTCAGCTGACTTCTCCCACTCCCCAAATAGCTGGGATTACAGGTGTGCACAACTGAGCCCTGATCAAAATCTCAAATTTTTTTTGCACTGTGGATTGAATCCAGGGGTGCTTTACCACTGAGCTACGTCTCCAGCTCTTTTTATTTATTTTAAGACAAGTTCTCACTAAATTGCCAAGGCTGGCATCAAACTTGGGATCCTCCTGCTTCAGCCTCCTGACTCTCCAGMATTGCAGGCATGTGCCACCATGCCCAGTCAAACCCCAGAAAATTTTAAAAATCCAGAATGGGCCTGAAATGGGCTATGCATTTAAAGTCGGGACAATTCTATTTCGAACCAAGTACACAGTGAAGCTCAGTGTTCATGTTTCATTTATCTGGAAAGAAGGGAAAAAGTTTAGTTTTGAGGTAAAGACTTGCAGAGATTCTGAAAGAAACTTTGGATTATCTTGAAGGCCCTTATTATTATGCCTGATTTCACTTCTTTGGACACAATTGCACCATAATTAATATTTTTTACTTCCTACTCATTTAGCACTTTTTTTTTTTTTTAAATTTGCAGATGCCATGACAAGGCAGAGAGGTGACGGACGTTTCCCTGAGGTAACTGGCAAGGATCTTCACAGGGTCTCATCCTATCGCCCACTGTGTCAGGCTAATAGCAGCTGTTCACTAAATAGGTATTGGATGAATCCATGAACAAGAGCTAAGTGACAGAGACAGGGATAATGGGGTCACATGGATGCTGGTTTACAAATGAGGAAGTGATCGCTGACGGTGGCATTTGCTGGAGCCTGGCTTGCCTGGTTCAGGTAACCCACCTCTTCCTGTGGCCTATTCCAAAAGCATTCTGGAGGTCTGTGTATAAGCACTTTCTTTCCGTAGAGCAGGATKGGCTGAGCCAATGGGCCTGGAGTGTGGGGAGGCCTCAGGGGGCGAGTCTGGAACGGCTCCTCAGGGCTCTGGGATGATGCCCGGAGCCCTCAGGTTCCGATGATGAGGCTCCAGCACAGCCTCTGTGGCTTTCATCCTTCCTGACTTCTCGGGGCTCAGGTCTCTGTCCTCTTCCTTGTTCTCCTTTCCATAATGTGGCCGCAGCTCTCCTGGGGTGCAGGGACTTGGGGCAAACCCAGTGGTGCCAGTGGCTGATAGTGTGTGTTGGGRGGACCATGCTGGTATGCTCCCTCCAAACCCAATGTGTCTGTGTATAGGGACAGGACACCCTGATAGCAGGTGGCATTAAGGAGACACACAAGTGAAAGGAGGAAAGAGACTTAGGGGTTCCCAAGAAAGGATCCTGAATTGCTTCACAGGAGCCTGAGAGGGAGACAAGAAAGCAAAGGAAATGGTGGTGGGCTTTCTTCAAATCAGATGCAGGCAAGTGGCCAGGAAACACTCCACAGAGGGAGTAATGCATTTTTTTTTCTTTATGTTTTTCTGATTGTTGAAGTGATTTATGTTCATTAAAAAAACAAACAAACAAAAAAAAAAACAATAACAGAGTCTGAGGGCTGTGAATCTGCCCTGGGGGTTGGTAGAATACAGTGGGCCTGAGGAGGTTCTAGGTCTTTGGAGGCTGTGGCCTAATATCTATCAGGTCCTGGCCAAGTGCCAGCCATGGGCAGGAGGCTTTGATTCTGTCCAAGCTCAGCATCTGTGCCAAGGGCCTGCAGGGAGGTGGACATCCGGTGGGACTCAGCCACTTCCTTTGTCCCACTTGCCTCAGAGGGAGCTGAGTTCTGCATGCACCGCAGGGTGGGGTGCGAGAGGTGGCAGGAAGGAGGGCACAGGAGAGGCCYTACATGTAGTGCCTGGTCCATGGAGAACTCAAGATCCCAAAAAAATGCTTTGGGACCTGCTCTAGAGGTATCAAGCTTCCCTAAAGTCATTTCMTGCCTGAGGTTTGGAGTTGTGGACAGACTCAGGGCTTTGAAAGTAAAAAAGCTTCAGTAGGGCTTTGGTCCTCTCCATGGGCTGCTGCTAAGCCCTTCCCATCTCCTCCAACCCAGGCCAGGGTACAGAGAGGCCTCAGCCCACCCTTCYTCTTCCAGCAAGCCCCCAGGGGGGCATGGCTTGAGCTGAAAGTGTCCCTGGCTTGAGCCTGGCCAACCTGCCTTCCTCCCCACTTCTTCTCTGAGCACAGGTGAGGATTTTGACCTGTTTGGCTCTCTTCCCTTCTCTTGGGGACCCAGGCCTGGCCTTTGAAAAACGCTGACACTGTCTACTTGAGCTGTGTCTTCAGCATCCTCTTGTCTACACTCCTTCTCTGGAAAGGGTCATCTCACCCTCTTCTCTCATCCATGCTGTGGAGGTTAGCGTCTCCAGAGGTGGAATGAATRGCAGGTCCCCAACAAAGACTGATGGGCTGTGGGAGGTGGGTCAACATCTCAGGCCCTGGACCCCATCACTTTCCTGGGAATCTGTTCAGCCAGTGTTAAGTTCAACTCTGGTTTAGATACTGGGAGTTTCCTTTCCTGCCATCATTCCAGAGCCTAGGACAAAAATGCTTTGGGGATCCTGGAGTGTGCTAGGGACATTTTATCTCCATAGCACCTGGAACAGGGCATGGTGGAAGAATTGGTGCTTTGGAGAGGCTGCCACTTCTCCCCTCCCCACCTGTTTTTGYAAAATAAGAGGATGATCCCCTGTTTTGTGAAAACTTCCTTTCAGTTATGGATATGTAGTTTAATTTGCTGAATGTGCAAAGCTGAGAGGCGATCTTGGTCCACAGGGACCCCGAATGCTGTTCACATGACCACTCCCATCCCATCCCTGGACACTTATCTATTTGTCCTCTCCATTTGATGGGATGGGGCTTTCTTCTTGCTTCCATGGGGCCTGGACCACCTGCCCTTCCACCATTAGGCTCCTCATATGGCCCTTCATSGCCCTGCTAATCATCACCATCTTCCTCTAGAGCAATGGGTCCACCCAGGACTGGGCTCTTGCCACACCTTTACCCTGAAGTGCTAGTTCTGTGGGAGATGCATCCAGACATACATCCAGAGATAAATGGGGACCCCTGTATTSGTGTCACAACCCACAGACACCTGCGCTCTACAGACAACGCATGAGCTGCCACTAACTGGAGAGTCTGTGTACTGGGCAAAGGGAAGAACCACCCTGAGCTCTGAACCCTGTCATTATGGAGGAAGGCAAACTGGTGAGGCCTCATCTTCTGACATCTGGAGCTTTACATAAATTATTCAGATTTTAAAATATTGGCAACTAATCCCCATTTTTAAGCAGTATGCAGGCCAAGCCCCATAGATCCAGGAGCTGGCTCTGACTGATGTGTGCTGGTGGCTAACTCCCAGGGAGTAATTGACATGCAGATAATTTTCTGGCTCTATCTGTGCAGACAGGTCACCATTACTGTCATCTCATTTCACCAGCTGAGACACAGATGCAGGCACAGGGTAAGTCACTGGTGGCCCATCAGGATTTAAGAAGTGGTGTTGAAATGCTGGAAGCCTGAGTCCAGCTCCCTTAAGCAAACCTCAGGGGTTTTCTCCTTTCCATGTAAGACTCAGAGTCCCAAAGGGCCTGGTCAAAGCTTATACCAATAGCTGTGTTTTAATGGGCATGTTCTATGAGCGAGGTGAATACATGTTATGTTGTTCAAGCTTCATATAACCCTGCACGGCCATATTTATATCTTTATGCTAGGGGTCAGGTAACTCATGGGACAGAGAGTGACATTCTCAAGGTCTCTTAGCCTTGGTGTGGGGGATATGATGACCATCTTTCCATGCAGCTTGGGGTCTCTGTATCCCGGTGTTCAACCTAGGGTCAGGCTCAATGGGGCCATTGGGGTTGGTAGATGAGTGTCTGGGGCTTGGATTCTGAGGCTGATGGACAGGATTCTGGGACAGGCTTTTGGCAGGGTCTCGGTCCAGGGTGTCAGGAATGGGCCTGGGTCTCAGCAGTCCCTSGAGAGATTCACTGGGCTCTGTCTTGCTTGCTCCTCTGTGGTGACAGGCACTGCCATATTCCCCCGGAGAACATCTCGCCACGCAGGGCATAGTTGATGGCATTGATTGTGGGCATCATTTTGGCAATGAGGGCAGGCACCTGTTGTCACAGAAAAATCCAGGAAAGATGCTTTGAAGCCTCTGCTTCTCCCCCTGGTCCAACTTAGATGCTCTAGTCCTCTCTCCCCCCTCGCCCCCCCGCAACTGTTAATCATTTGTCCTTGGTTTGATTCTGCAGTCTTGGAGCTCTCCCTGACTAGCTGGCAGATGATGCATGATTCTTASAACCCCGTAGGAATACACTTCCACTCAAAACCTGAGTGTCACCTTCTGACTATCTGTCCCTATCATCTCAGTCTCCTGTGGCCCAGGAGATGTGCATTACAAACACTCAAAGGAAGTGGCAAAGAGAGAGACTGATACAGAGACCAGAAAGCCAATAGGAGATACGGGTGACACAATGAAACAAAAAAACGATGGAGTGGGTTCTAGCTTTGGGTCTTGAAAGTGACCTTACCATTCGAAGTTTGGGGGAGAGGGAGCTCACATCCATGATGGTTGCAAATATATACAGGAGGGCATAGGGGCCCCAGCCGAGCAGCAGCAGCCTGACTGGCAGAGTGGTGTTCACCTGGGAAAAATTGTCACAGGAGGTGTCATTTCACTTAGGGTGGCCACAACTCTGGGTAGGCAGGGAGACCAGGTCTGTACTCAGGGGCTCTGAGCAGCCTGGACCAGGTTTCAGGAAGAAGCTAAGCCTGAAGAGGAACTTGGGACCTGATGGGTCTCTCTGCCATTTAAGGCTGGGTGACCCTAAGCTTGTTGTTTAAGCTTACTTAACCTCAGTTGCCTTGTCTGTAAAATGTGCTAATAATCCTTGACTTGCCTAGAGGCAGGCACTGGGGGTCAGGGAAAGATAATAAGCTTCCTTCTAAGTCTCTGCTCTTTAAGAGGAATCCTGGGGCTGGGGAGGTAGCTCAGTAGTATATTGCTTGCCTWGCATGCCTGAAGCCCTTGGTTCAATTCACAGCACTGTGGTGGGAGGAATCCTGGGCTCTAATGACTATGTGCATAAGGGTCCCAGGCTGAGCTGCCTTCAAACTTTAAGACCAGAACCAGCTTGCCATCAGCAGCTTTAGCCACTTGGTAATACTGACCTGTCTGTATCAAAGATTTCACAGTATGAGAAACAACCAGAGAACAGGGCTGGTCTGGAAAGTGGGTGATGTTTAAGGACCACCTGGTGGCCACGAAGGGATTATAATAGGATACCACCCATGGCCACAAGGGGGCGCACAAACCAAGATCAAATTTCAGGATGTATTTGCCCTGTCATGGCTTCCTGACATATATTCAGATGCTAAAAATTTGATGCAAAATATCGCTGCCTGTTTTCTCATTGATATGGGTTTTTAACAGAGAAGGCAATTTAAATTGGAAGAGGACACATTTTCTTCAATGTTAGATTTTGAAAATACGTTGACCAGGAGACATTTCTTTTTCTCTTGAATTGTCCCTCATTCTGCAGGGGGTGGGGAGGACGGGTGCTTAGGWCGGATGGATTCTTCTGGGGAGAAGTTGAGGCTGAAGGAGAAATTGGAACTTCCATGGGAGACCATGTCATCTCCAGAAACCACTTAGCTTAGGCTGAGGTCCCTGGGCCCATGCATGGTGATTACAGCTGATGCTACCAGAGCTGGTGATTTAAAGTCAGTGGGGAAAATGGCAAAGTCACAATGATAGTCTTATCTCTTGGCTGATCAAAACTTCAAGAAATTTGGTGACTTTGCATATTCAGACAGATTGGGGAGAACAGAGTGGAGGACAGCCTGGGAGGGAGAGGACACCAGCTTCGAGCCAGAGATTTGGATTCTGGTCCCAGTGCAACCCCCACCCTCCTCCTGTGAGCTCAGAGGTATGTGGATGTCCAGCTAAAATCAATTTTTAGAATCCCTTTCTAATTCACAGGAAAAATAATGAAGTAGCAGATTAAGCCTTAATAAAATTGAGTATTTCTTTTATGACTATAATTGAGTAATTGGGTGGCAGAGCCTAAGACCTGGGTCTGGATCTATCTCGGCTCTTTTTAGGTGTGTGGCTTTGGGTGAGTTGCTTAGCTAACCTCCCTCTGCCTCTAACCTCAATCCAGTCGGTGACACAGGGAGAATAAAGCCTTCCTTTCTCAGAGAGTGGTCACAAAGATGAGCTGACAATGCATATAAAATAGTGCTAATACTTTTTTTAAAAACCTTGGCTGCTTGTTATGACTCATTTGCTAAATTGTCCAGGTAACAAACTACGAAAAATGAACATTAATGCAGACATTCAGAAATGGCCAGGAGGGTTTATATTGAAGCATCATTTTTCTTGGACAAATGTGCTTGCAGGTGTGACTTTATGTTGTGGGTAACAGCCTGTGACTGTGATTAAATTAAACATCTCAAAGCAATTTAAAAGTCACATTTAAAGAGTCTGCAATTTTGTGCTAAGCCTCAAATCCTCTGGAAGAATTGAATGTAACAGCATGGATGGCATCCTGCAGGGAGAGCTGGGCTTTCAGTGGAAGAGGGTCTGGGTAAAGAAAGAGCCATTCTGGTCTTTGCTCCCCAGGCCTTGGCAATCTGAGCAAGGGGAGGGTGGTTTGGGGCCTTAACAGTTTATTGTTATACAAACTGAATTTTCTCCTGATMATTGCAAACACAGGAAACCCTGGAAAGAACCACCACGTCATGCATATCCCTGAGCATCCCTGAAAAGAACTGAGGGATTTCTGGGCTGGGTCCTTACCTGGAGATGGCCACTCCTTGCCAATTTCTGCTCCATGAGCCGGTAAGATGTGAGGGTGATGAAGAGAGGCACGAAAAAATTGAAAAAGGCCATGGTGAAGAGGAAACTGATGAAGTTTCTACAGGTGGAAGGGTGGAGGAGTGGGAGTCAGCCACCAGGAATGGTCAGCCACCTCTGTACCAGAGAGTCAGAGGTGGGGAACCRCTCCCATCAGATAAATGCTCAAGTGCCATCATTGCTGGTCCCAGCTGAACTCTCCTCAGAAGCCAGGGAGCTGAGATGAGGAAGAAGCCTCCTTCAAGTTCAAGTGCTCAGCCCCACTCACCTGGCTGTTCCCCAAGCATGAAGAATGGGACACTTTAGCTTGGGAGATGCCAGTGGACCACGAGGAAGGAACATTCCAGGGGTGTTCTAGGTCCAGGGATTTGAAAGGAGCCCGTGAATGACAAAGAGACTGGACACTGTGTCCCTGAGGAGATCAGAGAAGCCTGGGGTCTCAGGTAGTGGTCAGAGGGAGGTGGAAGGGATGACCAGGAACAGGTCAATGAAGGGAAGACCCTCCCAGGAACACTTTGGAGATGGCCACTAAGGAGGGGTGGGAGGAAGGGCTGCCAGAAGCAGTGGACCCCAGCTGAAGAATACCCTACAGGTTTGGCACTCAGCTCCTCAGGTAGATTTCACCTGGGAAGGCTGTCATCAGGTGCAGACACTTTGTGTGTAAAACATCTCTTGGAAAGCAGGGCATTCAACACAGCTTTGGTGGTAACAAAAAGGGACAGTGGAGCCGTGTGACCCAGGTAGCCTCTAAAGGTAGCCACATGGATGGGACAGTACTAGAAAACAGTATCTGCAGCTCTGGTCCATGATAGTGGGGAGCATTCAGTTTCTCTCTCTCTCTCTCTCTCTCTCTCTCTCTCTCTCTCTCTCTCTCAGGACTGGCTTACAGAACACTCAGGGAATTCCTAGAATTGATCTCCATGAATGAGGGTCCCTCCCACTACTGAACCAAGGGAATGGATCCCTCTAGAAATCTATGAAGTCTGAGCCAGAAAAAACTGACTGTGCTGAAGACGGACAAGGGGTGGCAGGGCTTCACTCCTGTTCTGATGGATAGAAGCCGAGGACACACTGTCTGATGCCCCCTCTCAGGCTCCACTCTGGGCCCCAGTTTGTATAACATTCCCATCCCTTGGTCCGTCTTCAGGATGGGCTTCCCTCAGTCCCAATGTCAGCCTGTATACGTGGAAATCATGTCTATGGAGTTGAGATTTTTTGTGATAAATGTTGGCATTTCCCAATTTGGATTTTTCAGCTGGGACAACCTTGTCACAGGAACTCAAAGCCAACATTCCCAGGGAAGGAAGCCTGGAAGCTGCTCCTCCTGCCTCACCTGTCCCCTCTGGAGTAGTCCAGGGTGCAGCATGTTCCCAGGGGCTCATAGTCATAGTGGCCCCAGCCCAGGAGGGGGAGTGCTGCCCAGAAGGTGGAAGACAGCCACACAAAGAGCACCAGGGGGATGGCCGTGTTCCACGCCAGCTGGCTGCCTGTGTGAGACAGGAGGAAGAGGTGTCGTGAGGAGGAGATATCTTGGCCAAGAGAAAAAGAATGGACTTCAGGGTCACACAGAACCTTGCTGACTCTCAGTTCTGATTCTAAATAGCTTGGTGCCTCAGGCAAGTTGAGGGTGGGACTGGGGATATAGCTCAGTTGGTAGAGTGCTTTCCCCACTTGCACAAGACCCAGGGTTCAATTCCCAGTATCATAAAAAGGAAAAAAAAATAAATTTTGCTGGACTCGGTGGTGCACACCTGTAATCCCAGCGGATAGTGAGTTCAAAACCAGCCTCAGCAAAAGTGAGGTTCTAGCAACTCAGTGAGACCCTGTGTCTAAATAAAATACAAAATAGGGCTGGGGATGTGGCTCAGTGGTCAAGTGCCCCTGAGTTCAATCCCCAGTACCTCCCCCTCAAAAAAGGCTTCTCTGAACCTCAGTTTTCTCCTCCACAATGGGAATGATAATTCCTCTGAGGATCCTTATGAAGAACAAAAGAGACACTGGATGGTGAAAGTCTCCCTGTAGACAATTGGTGCCATCTTCTTCAGAGAACAGAGAGAAGCAGGGAGTAGGGAAGGAACAGAGGTGTTTCTCAGAGCCAAGGTTAGGAATGAACCATGGGCAGTGGTTCAGGTGGGAGCAGTGGAGGGGAGACGTGGAAGTCTGGATTCTCCACCKTCCTCAGCTCTTGCTCAGAAGCAGCTGGTCTCTGCTTCTAGGAAACTCTCTGAGAACTTTTGACTCAGAGCCTGGGGTTCCATCTCAGGGCCATTCGCAGAGGCCAGGTCCCAACAGCATCTGTGGCTCTGGTCCAGCCCCACTGACCAGACGTCCTACTGTTGACCAGACGTCCTACTGTTCCCTCCACATAGGCTCCGTTCCTTTCCCTGGACCTGGCTCAGACTGCCTTTCCTGAGCCCCTCCTCTGTTGGGGGTTTATTGGTCATGCTTCTTTGTAGACAAGAATCCAGATGGGGTCTGGTCCATGAGAAGAGCCTATCTGCAACCTCCCACAGCCAACACGTTGTTTTTACAGATATGGCCCCAGATGGAGTTGGCTCGGATGTACTCCCTGGCTATGGACTGAATGTTTGTGTCCCCCACTCCCACTTCATGTGCTGAAGCCCTAGTCCCTGGTGTGACGGCACTGAAGGTAGGGAGGGCCTTTGGGAAGTAATGAGTCAGGAGGGTGGAGTCCCAATGGAGAGATCGGTGTCCTTATAAGAAGGGACATGAGAGAGATGATCTTGCTTTCCTCCCTGTGACTATGTAGCAAGAAGGCGACCCTCTATAAATCCAGAAGGGGGACCTCGCCAGAGCCTGGCATGCTGACACCCTGACCTCGAACTTCCAGGCTCCAGAACTCTGCGAAATAAATCTCTGTTGTTAGAACCACCCATTCTGGTAAGTTTTGTTGCAGCAGCCCAGGCTGACGAAGACACCCTCCACCCCAAGTGGGGGCACAATTGTCAGTGTCCATGTTGACCCACGTGTGGCAACAMGATCTTCAGCATCAGAAACAGATGCTCCGTGACATGGTGCAGGTGAGTTTCAGACCTCCTCCATCCCCCTCTCCCGTCTTCACCCTGCTGTCGCAGGACAGAAAGGGCTCTGGACTGAGGTCTGAATAGGAAGGAGGCAGAGAAGCCTATTCCAATCTGAAAAGGAYGTGTGTATGTGTGTGCCTGGGAGAAGGGTGGGGTGAGGGTGGGGGATGGTTCAAGGGACTTTTGGGGAAAGTGCTGGGGTGTAAGTAGTGGCAGAGGTGCCTCATGGCCAAGCAGGCAGGAGAGGTTAACTTACTGCCATGGAAAACCATAAGGACAAAGGCAGTGTTTGGATCTGGAGAGAGACATGTGATAGGGGACACCCACGAGGGCTGGTGACATTGCTGCCAGGTGTGTGTCTGCCACAAGGGGAAGATCTGRAAATTCCAAAGGGGCCATGCTCAGGGACCAAGGCTGTACTGGCTGCCGTGGACCTCACAGGGGCCTCCATGCTGGGCAGATCTATAGCTCAGGACTTGGAGCTAGGCTAACAAAGGAAGCAGGTTCCTATGGATGCATCTGGTCCACACTCAATTCTAGCTCTTGTCTACTATTGTTTGRCACTTAGCAAGCTGCTTAACTTCTCTGTGCCTCTGTTTCTTAGGCTGCAAGCTGGAGGGTTAGCTGATACACAGCTTCTCAAAGCACGTTTTTATACCTCTGGCAGTGAAAGATTTTTTATTCTAATGTTTGTTAAAACTATAAGAACATTAAACTTGTGATTTCACAGATATTGTTTAGAATAAGACTAAGTGGGTTTTTAAAAGTTTAAGAGTAGGGTTTGTTGATGCACATTAGTAATCCCAGCTGCTCAGGAGGTGGAGGAAGGAGGATTGCAAGTTGGAGGCCAGCCTGGGCAATTTAGTGAGACCCTGTCCATAAAAAAAAATAAAAAAATAAAATAAAATAAAATAAAAAATTAAAAGAGCTGGGTGTTAAAATGCCCCTGAGTCAATTCTTTGTGAGAAAGGAGGAAGGAAGGAAGGAAGGAAGGAAGGAAGGAAGGAAGGAAGGAAGGAAGGAAGAAAGAAGTAAATAAGAGTTATGTGAAATGTTTGTTTGAAAAAAAATGTCAGATAAAATCAGAACAGATGAACAGGTGGCACACTGCGATGGCTAATTATGATGACGGCATTTGACAATGCAACTTGGGAAATCTAGAACTAGAACTAGTCTTCATGAAACTTTGGCATGGCAGAGGCCCTGTGGAAGAGTGAGTTTCTAGGTCACATGCCCAGCTACACACACACACACACACACACACACACACGCACGCACACTCATGCACTCTTTCTCTCTCTTTACCTCCCTCTAATTCTAACACTGCCCAACTGCAAGGACGTTTTGTGTATCCATGATCTCATCTGATTTTCAAAATAAAACTGTGAGATTAGTTATTAAAATTATCTTGTAGAGGAGAAGACTAAGGTTCAGAGAGGATCCCTGACTTGCCTTAGGCTGCAGCAAAGGCAGAGGCAATTTTTTCAACACATGCCTCAAAACAGGTCTGTTGCACACTCTCCCACCCTCCCTCTTTCGCTGAAATGCTTGTTCACATCTTATGCACGGTACACCCCCACCCACCCACAMTCTCTGCGCTGGGAAACACATCACTAAATTCCTGGGCGAATTTAGTTCTATTCACCCCGCCCTGCCTCTTATCCTCCCGCACTGCAGATAGTCCGTTGACATACGGGTGCAGTAGTGGTGGTAGCGCCCCCAGGCGATGGCTGCGCTGCCGCAGATGCTGGACAACGCTGTCACAAAGCCCTGGAAGCCRTGAGCCTGGCAGCCATCGGAGCCATAGGGCCAGCGCCTGTGGGAGACACATGACACAAGTTACTCCATCTCTCCTACCCCCATGCCTGCCCTGCTTGGAAGATTCCTGAATGTTAGTCCTACTCCTCCAAAGAGGGCCTTATTATCTTTCTTTATTCTGGGAAGGTACTGGGGTCTTTGAGCTTAAGAATCGCKGTGGAAGAGGTGGAGCTCTATGCAAACTGCGACTTTTCCTGCACCGCGATTAGACCAAAAGATCTTTCTGCGTGATCACACGCCTCCACCATAGGAGAACTCAAGCCCTTTTTTCCATAAGCGGGGAACTGAGGCATGGGAGGAAAAGATACTGGAGCCACGGTCCACAGTGAAGGCAAAGCCAGASCTTGGATCTCGGGCCTCCCTATCCTCTGCCCCATGGATAAGCAAAGGAAGAAACATTAGTGCTTTGTGGGAGGAGAGATCGTTACCAATTCAGATCCCACAAACTGGTCAGCCCTGAGTATTCATACCCAGGTGGGTTCAGCCKCCCTTCATAGTGCCCCAAACCTGACAGAATGTTCCCTTTGCTTAAGAAAACAATCTTACAAACACATCTTCTGAAATTATGCAGGACCCAGGTTTGCACATGTGGTTGTATTGGACACTAGTCAAAATCCTGTTTGCTTTCACAAACAATTATTTAGGGCTTCCTAGGTGGCAAGCATTGTTTAAAGTTGTTTGAAAATAATTAAAGTCAATACTTCTAACCACCCATATGAATCCCTTTGGTTGAGTTTGAATAACCCCTGTGTTCCACAAATTAGCTGCGGCTCTGCAGGGATAATCTGGAATTTGGGTTTAGCTGAGTTCACCCTGCCCACCCTCTGCCCTTGGGTTAGTTTTCTRTAGGTAAGAAAAAAAGGTTCTGGTCTCCCAATACCCCTAAGTCAGGCCCCAAGCAGGGCCCCAGAGCCAGTGGAGTGCAGAGGGGCCTGGTACCGGAGGAGGCTGGATATGGCTGCAATGAGGGCATTCAGGCTGATTCCACTGTCCGCCACGGCCAAACTCAGCAGCAGCAGGTGGTTGGGAGTCCGCAGCTCCGGGGTCTTGCAGAAAGAGAAGATGGTCAGGCCATTGAGGCTGAGACCAGAGAGAGCTGAAAGGAAGGGCAGGGGCTGGCATCTGGGCTAGAGAGGCCCACCTTGGGTCAGAACCAGGGTCCAGAGGTGGATGGACCTTCAGCAACTTTCCCCCTTTATGCTCAGCAGTTCTCTCSGTGCAGTTCATCAAATTCTCCTGAGGCAGACTGACCCTCAAACACTGAAAGCCATAAGTCTCATGCCCTCCCCTCTACCAACATAGCCCCATGGGAAGACAGATAAAGAAGATGGTCCAGTACAGCATGGTTCCTGCTAGAACATTCACAACCTCCGRCAAGCACTGAGCACCTAGGAGGTGCCAGGCACCTGGATAAGCATGTCATTCAGACTTCTCTTGCGTACGCTCCTATTCACTTACGGTTAAGAAATAGCCTTAGAGATGCTAGCTATCATCCCTCAGTACACAGTTAGCTAGGACTCCAACTTGAGTCTTTCAGATTCCAAAATGCCTCCCCCAAGGTCGGTGGAGCAACATCAGGGAGAATCTTGGAGAGGAAGAGCCGACGTTAGAGCCSGGAGCTGCACCCAGAACATTAGTCAGTGAGGTGAACTTGAGGTGTTTTCTGAGAGCAGAGAGATCTGGCCTTGCTATCCCTTGAAATTTCTAAACCTCACCTTCTTCCCCTGTCAACATCGAGGAACAGAGAAAGATCCTGACTTGAAAACTGTGGGAGCATTTACCCAAAGGATGGTGCATGAAAGAACATTCCAGAATGAGGGAGCAGCACATGCAAAGACATAAAGGGTAAAATTTGCCAGCATGTYTGAGGTCATAGAGGAAGGCTAGAATGTAGCATTCCTAGAAAAAAGGGAAATGAAATGGGGCCACCAGACAATAGTACTCAGAGTCTCTAGGACCAGTTTTATRTCACTTCCTCTCCACTGTCACTTCTCACTGGGTGAGGAAATGTGCTGCTTACCTCTCTGGATGTGCTTTGAACATGGACTGTATACCCTGTCAGCCTAGTTCTAGGGTGAACCCAATCTCTAGCTCTGGCCCCACTGAGTATTTTAAGGATTCTGGGTGAAGGTAGGCTTCCGAAGGACCCAGGTGGTCCCTAGGTGGGACATACCTAGGGCTGTGGGAGGAGACATGGTAGAAGGAATGGTGGGCAGGAGTGGACAGAAGTTAATGAACTCCCTGGTGCCTTCCCTGGGTTTCTGTCTGGACAAACATTTCATACTTTGACCCCATTTAACCTTCACAACCACCCATTTGGAATATCAAGGCACTGAGAGTCAGAGAGCTGAAGTGACTTGGTACCAGTGACATAGACAGCAGGTGGCAGAGCTATCTGTCTCAGAGTCTTCTTGGAGGCTAATCTTTCATGGGATTCTTAGCAGGATTTCCAGGGACTGGATTAAATTTTCTCCTGCCTGGAAGGACATAAAGTCTGAAGGTTGGTTCTTGGTCATCTCTGGGTATATATACACACCCCTGACACTGCTGCAAAGTCTGTCCCTTCCTGATCCCTACCTGGCTTTTTGTCTTGACTCCTCGCTGGTGCTCTGCATTCTACAGGAAAGCCACCAGGAGACCTTGTAGGTCTAGGCACATAGGAATAAGCAATCAGGATGACATGATAACTCAGTTAGGTTAGGGGAACTCTTCGTGCCAGCACCATAGCTGTGACTGGGTTTTGAGATCCTGCTGGGCCCCTGCTCCACCCCAGGTCCTGCCTGGCTCACCTTCCACCAGCAGCACCGTCCCCACAGCCAGCACCTCCAGTTCCCCGAAGCCTGCRGGCAGGGCTGCAGTCTCTGCCATCCTTGCTCTTTTTCTGGCTCCCCAAAGCCATGCCCCTCCCTTTTAAAGGACCGTTCCCCGTGCTGGCACATGCAGGTTATTATGCTAGACCTTGAACTCCTTCTTTCTGCCTCCCCTGTCTAATTCGTCTAATTCGTCCTCTTGGCCCAAGCAAAAGAAAACCATTCACCAGCTGGACAGTGCAGCCTTTGTGAAGCCAGAATGGGGCCCTGTCTCATTCATTTCAGCCCCGCTGGGCAGGATTAAGGTCTGGGAATCCAAATGGTGTATGGCTGAGAGCTGAATTGGAAAGAAGTTGCATAATCAAGGGAGGGGAGTGGAAGGAGGGATTGGAGCCGCAGCTGTTCCTGAGAATCGGATAGGAGCCAGGCTTTTCTGTGTTCATCATTGCTGACARTSTGAGTGCCTGTGTGTTTGTATGTGYGCATGCATGCRTGTATGTCCAYAGGATCACGTGCCTRTAGAAAGGTTGAGGTTTGAAAGTCACSTGCTATCATAGAAAGAACCTCTTTTGGGACTAGAGCCTGGGTTCTGGCTCTGAATCTTCCACTAGTTGTATTCCCTGAAGTGGGACCAATAGTGTCTTCTCAATTTCCTCCTTTGCAGTGTAAGYATCTTTTGTCCATGGCCTGTCCTAATTCCTTAGTAGAAGAGCACATCATAGATGTAGATTTCAGGGTTGCATTTCTTGTCATACAGTCTTTGAGCTACAAAAGCACAAAAAAAAATCTAGCAGGTCTCTGGTTTGGAATGATGAGCTGCTGTCTTCTTGTAAGTGCCCCCATGACTCACTGAGAGATTGGGCTTCTAACAAATGAGGTTCTTAGTACAAGTTATGTAATAGCTCATGGTGACATTTACATCAGGAAACATTGATCTAGTGCAACCTAACTCGTTTTCAGATAATAGTAATACAGCTAATGTTTATTGAGGTCAGCCACCATAGTAAAGAATCTTCTGATAGTTCCTTAAAAAAAAAAAACAAAACAACAACAACAACAACAACAACAACAACAAAACAAAAAAAAGACTCTCCATGAATTAGATACTATTATCTTTTCCATTTCAGATGAGGGAACTGAAGCCAACAGCAGTTAATAATCAGCCGGAGGTCATGCTGTGATTTGAGGATGAAACTGGAGCAAAAGCCTGATCTCCTATTCATGTAGTTCAGGGACTTTTCATTGATATCATCTGATTTCCTTTGGCCACACAACTCATCTTGTTCTGAGAATGTCCATTTCCTAGACTTTTCCTTTCATGAGTCCCCACTGATGTCTGAGCCTTATCACACCTCAAGGCTGAGCTCGAAGTCACATCCTCTAGAGTCTTCCCTGCTCTGTCTAAACTTCTTGCTATTTAACCCTTATGTCCCTCTTCTTTCTATATCTGCAAGATCTCAAGTAACTTCATGAGAGAAAATAAAGAAGCATGAGGCTGGGGATAATGGATAGAGTTCTGCCAGAAGGAAGGCATCCCAGACACAAAAAGGGAAGGACGGAGAAGAAACAATAGGCGGGGCTGGTCTTTTGGTCTGGGGAGGACCCAGGTAGGGCATGCTGACCAAAGAGCAAAAAAACCCTCATGTTTGGARTCAAACATGAGGAATGAGTGAATGAATCACCAATGTATCTACTACTTGGAATCACCCATGGCTTGGTCCCTATTGGCATCTTAAATAGATTTGTTAAGATGAAGTTAGGGGAAGGGAAAACAGATAAAATAGAATGTGCATTCTCCAAAAACTCTGTGAGATGCTGTTCTGGGCCCCTCCTGAGAGTATGGTGCTTTGAGTAGAGGGGAGAGATCTTTCCTCTTATCTCTTGCCTTTGGCATTGGTGGTAATGTCCAGAAGAGCCCAGCTAAGCTGACAATGTTCTGAGCATCCATTGGGCTCTCATGGGAAGCAGCTATTTGCCCAACAGTCTGCCATAGTTCCTGAGGCCATGGAAGACATCTGAGGTCTTCCTAAAATATTGGTCTTTCCAGCTCCTTCTTGAACAGGTGCCAGAAAAACTTAATATTTACTACTTGTGAGAGAACTTTTGTAACCCAGGAACTTTTGTTACCTGGGAAACTTGGATTGTTGAATTTGGGTGGATTAACTTGACTTACWTTTGTCTGTTGTGAACACAGAAACCAAGAGAGATGATGTATCTCACCCAAAGTCATGGCCTTTAAATGGAAGAGTTAGGATTTGAACCTGGAGAGCCTTGTCCCTGAGCTCCAGCTCTTTTTAATGCCTCATCACCTCCAGGGAGGCCAGAGTTCTCTGTCCATCTTCCCTGAGCTCATGTACCTCGGGGAGGTCTGTGTTACCCACAGCCTGGTTGGCATAGGGAACTTTACAGGTGACCAACCTGTAGTTGCTTGCTTCTGGCAGCTGCTCACCTGCCTTGCCTTGCTGTGCCCCCACCTGTCTAGGTGGGTGCTATAGAAAGGATTCTCCTCCCCCACCCTCAGGCCTGAGCAATTCAGGAAGCAGTAAGCTGCTGAGCGCTCTGGCTGGGGCCCCCTCCCTAATCCCCAGACTGTCTGTGTTTATCCGATGGCCTGGGGTTGGGAGGAGAGGATGAGCAAGTGGGAAGCTGCTGGGCTGGCTGGCCCCTGGCCGGCCTCCTCAGAGAGGAGCCAGGAGTCATGTGGGTGGCAGTGGGCATGCTCTGGATCCTGGCCCTTGGGGGGTCCCACCAGGCCCGGGGCTCTTGTCCCTCTCAGTGCACCTGCGGCCTCCACATCCTGGGTGATGGCAGCAAGGCCAGGTACGGCACCAGGGGTATGGGATGGTGGCTCGCCCTCATAACTTTACCAGTTAGACTGGGTGGGGAGGGGTTGGATACCAGCAGCTGTCCCCTTGCTTGACAGTCCCACACATCCCCATCTGAGGCTCCTGGATAATCATGGGTATGCAGGATGCGGGGTTTTCAAATCATGACTAGGTGAGACCCCCATGTCCCTGGCCCCTGAAACTCAGGAGTCCTATGGGGGTGGTCTGCAATGTATTTTCTTCCAGTAAGTARGGGGTTTGCTCTGTCCACAGGTACTCAGTATGCTTACAAGTGGGGGTGGGGTGGGGACAAGTGTGCTGGTTTCAGAAACTCCCTCCTGAGCCTTCCTTTAGGCTCCTGGTGGAGCCTGAAGGAGCTCTTTAAAGGCCCAGGAAGTTTCCTCCTTACCTCTTTTTTTTCCTCTCCTGCTACCTCCCATCCCATCTTTCTGTCTGTATCTCCAAGCCCCATCTTTCCAAGCCTCTTCTATTCTTGTGCCTAATCTCCCTGGAATAACCAGTCACATCCAAGTGCTTCTTGTCACTCTACCCATGAAGGGACCACCTGCCTCTTCATGCTCTTCCCACTTTGGGTCTCCTCTGGCAGTCCCTAAGAGATCAGTCTTGACCCCTTTTATGAGTGTCCATTTCACTGCAAGCTTGCTCCCTCCATCCTCAGCCTCCTCCTTGACTTTCCCCATCCTCCCTCTGGTCCCTTAGAACACCCCCATTCTCTCCATCTCCTTTCCATGGCACCTTCCCAAGTCTACTCTGGTTTGTGGACCCTTGYTTTTCCTCTAGAGCTTGTTTTTTTTTTTAATTTTTTAGTTGCAGATGGGCACAATATCTTTATTTATTTACTTATTTGTTTTTATGTGGTGCTGAGGATCAAACCCAGGGTCTCACACCTGCGAGGCAAGTGCTCTGCCRCTGAGCTACAGCCCCAGCCCTGAGCTCATTTTTGTCTTCTCTCCAGCAGTCTTTATACCATCTTTTCTCCAATTTCCTCGGCTTATCCATTAATGACCTGTGCATTTTCTAATTTAAGGATTTCAGCATCTGGCTTATGGCCTTTGTGATCAACTTTATAACCTTATGGAATTCCATCCTCCTTTTCCCCCTTGTCTTAGATGGGCACTAGGGAGCCACTGGTGGTGATCAGAGAGCAATGTTACTAGAGTTATCCTTTCAGGCAATGGGCATCATGTTGCCTGGGGTTGAGGGGTGGCAGAGAATGGAGAGGCACCCCCCCCMAAAAAAAGGACATCCTGTATGATCTGAGGAATAGGAAAACTTCCTCTTTCTGCATAAGTGTCTGATGCTATAACTCACATGGAAGGTAAGCTTCCTTTCACTAAAGAAGACTTAGACCTGAGCAGGCTGGGAAATAGCCCATGGCCAAGGACAGTGTGATCAGAGTGACAAGAAGCCTCCTTTATCACTCACAGGGAGCACAGGCCTCAAAGTCCCAGAGCTTCAGTGATGGGATTGGTCCCAGAACCTAGGACTTCTGATTCTATTTCCAGAACTCTTCTTGTCTGGGTTTCTGCCATGAATAAGATGAGAACTACAGACAACAGAGTTAGACTTTGGATGGAAACTAAAATTACAAGAGCAATTTCTAGGGGTCCTAATGTCAACCAGTGGTCATGCTCTCCTGAAGCCAGAGCTCTTACAGTTGGTTCTACCTGCCTGACAGTAGTAGGATTGATGTGTGCCCATGCATTGATATGGAATGTTTTATGAGAGGAATGAGGCCATAAAGRGCTGCAGAGGCTCCCCGAGATCCTCAATGCCCAGAGGCACAGATTGGGCACTTAGACCAAGGCTCCTTCTGCCCCATAGATGCCTTCTTCAGACCCACCTCTACCAGGGTCTCTCAGAGAGCCCTCCCCTGGCAACCTGCCCTGACCCACACTCTTGAATTGTGAGCAAAGTGTATGTCCCTGCAGATATGGGGGTTTCTAGGATGCCCCATCTGGGTACCTGGACAGATGTGTCTCATGCTTTTTGTGCCCAGGTTGTCTCATCAAAAGTTGTGCTGTTGGCTTGTGTTGGGCTCTTATTGGGGTCCTTTAAGGCCTCCTTTCACCATTTTCTCCCCCATTCAGGRCATGTTTTCCTATCCATCCTTTTCCTCCCACTTACATCCAGACCTTCCTCCTTGCTATCACCTCAACCTGTATTATTATCTGAAAATATTATGGCCTTCAATGCTCTCTTTCCCTTAAAT